AAATGATTCCATGTTTAGAAAAGTAGCTAAGTAAACAGTTAAACTCTGTTCCGTTATCACTTTGAACGATCTTTAGTTTATGAGAAAATTGTCTTTCAACCATAGCAACAAAAGACATAAACATGTGGAAAACGTCAGTTTTATCATCTAGCAAATAAACCCAAACAACACGAGGGAAGTCATCTACTAAAGTTAAAAAATAACGCGCTCCACAAGAAGAAGCATGTTTGTAAGGACCTCATAAGTCACAATGTACTTTTTCAAAAATCCTACCTAGTTTCATTCGTACTTAAAGGAAAACTTTCCCTAGTTTGTTTGGCTCGAAAGCATACTTCGCAAGCTTTATTTAAACTACCCTTACTATCACGAACCGGAGAGAGTAACTTCACAATCTTCTCAGAAGGATGACCCATTCTCTTGTGCCACAACTCCATAGTAGATATTGCCCCCATTGACCGACACATGTAGAGCCGATTCTCCTTACTTGAAGTAGTAAAGTCCGTCCCGTCTAACACGAGTTCCAATCAGCGTCCTCGACCGGTCCTGTATAGCACATATATGTGAGTCAAAAGCAGCAACACGTTTCATATCATCATTTAATTGAGACACATATATGAGATTGCAGTTTAGTTTTGGAACCAAGAGAACATTTTTAAGCATTATTTTGTCTGAAAATCGAACCAAGCCTTTGTGAGTTCCAATGACCTTTTTTCCATTTGGTAATCCCACAAGGCGGCCCGAAATTCTTTCAACTTCCCTAAGCCATGAGACATCACCTGTAACGTGGTGTGTTGCCCCAGAGTCTATTATCCATAATCTTTTATAAAACTCACCATTTAGGCGCTGATCAGTGATTTTTGCATTACCCATTAGACCAGTTAAGGTTTTCCATTGCTCGGCTGTAAAAAGCAGCGGTGATGTTTCATTGTTGCTGCTCCCGGAGGTAAGTGAGACGGTATTGGCACGAGTGTTTGTTCTTCCTCCGCCTCTACCACCTGATTTTCCACCACGCCCAGCCATGTTTGTTTTGCTCCGATCTTCCCACCACTAAGGGTATCCAACAAGTTCAAAACAGCTTGTAGCCTCATGTCCCGTCTTTTTACAGTGAGTACAGGTCAGGTGTGACTTAGCCACCCGTTCTCGAACTCTTCCCTTGTCTCCGCCTGCACGTACTAAGAAACCCAGTGCTTCATGAGGCTTCTCATCTGTCACACTCTTTGCATTCAGAACACGTTCATCTTGAATCACCAATTGAAAAGCTTTATTCAAGGATGGCAAAGGATCTTGTGACAGGATACTGGTACGTAGTGCAGCAAAATGGTCTGAGTTCAGCCCCATGAGAAATTTGTGCAGCATGTCATTGTCCCTTCTTGTCTCGTGTTCACTTCCTGCGGTGTAATTGGCACAACAAGAACAAACAATTATGGGTTCGTGGTTGTGTAATTCTTCCCACAAGCCTGTCAGTCTACCGAAGTACTCATCCACCGACATGTTCTTGGCTTGTTCACATTTAGCAATAGAAGACTTCAATTGTTGTATTCTGGGCCCATTCACCAAAGCATATCTGGACTTCAATGTATCCCGCAACCGTTTAGCATCACGATATTTTGAAAGATAACACTTCACCTCTGTGTCGATTGTGTTCATCATTCAGGATACCAACATGGCATTGATAGTATCCCAATCAGCCTTTGTGCAAGGAGGTACAGGTTCAGTAATCGTACCATGTAGTAACCCAAACTTTCTGCGTGCTTCCAAAGCGGTTCGTATGTCACCAGCCCAATCGTCATAGTTGTCTCCCCGCAGCTTGGTCGGAGTGATAAAATCACATGGCCTATCTTGAGGACCAAGGTAGAAAGGCGAGTTTGCCTCTATTTTTTCCGGCGGCGGATTACTCGAACCACTTTTATCCTTCCCACCGTCGTCTTTCCCCATTTTTAGGATTTCTTATTCGCCTACTCTAATACCATGAAAAGTTCTATGGCTCAAAATCATGCCTTCATTCAATTGATACGTTCGAATAAATACAATTTTGGATCCTGACATCTATCAAAATAATTTAAAAACAAAGAGATAAAACAAACTAAAGAGATAAACTCTGAACAATTTGAACAAAAGCTAACCACGTGTGCTTTGACACTTCTCATTCATTTCCTTTCTCTTAGGCTGCGTTTGTAGTATACCAAAGCTTGTGTGGTGTTTTCACTTGCTTATCTGGAAGTATACCCGTACGGTAACCGGGTGCCCTTACCACGTTCTCCTCTCTCCCTCTCTCTTCGGACACTTCTCTCTTGGTAAAATCGGAATCCATGACCAAGTGAAAATTTTCTCGAGAAACCTAACAACTTCTGTTGTAGAAATATGCAAAACCAATGGAGAAATTATCCAAATTCACTCGTAAGTGTTACTTAATGGTTTCATCAACGACCCAGAACCTATATCTAAATTTGCTTCATCAATTGTCCGCAAACACCCACAAGATATTGATTATTCTATTTTACTATTAGACGAATGCAAAAATCCCTCCATGTTTGCTTTAAACCCTCTAATCAAAGTTTACTTCAAGAGCTCAACTCCTGAAAATAGCTTCGATTTCTACAAAAGAATCGTAAAATCAAATCTCATAAACCAGATAATTACACCTTTACGTTCTTGATCAAGTCTCATGTGCAGTTATTGAATAAGGACTTGGGTTTGGCTGAACATTGGACTGCAATGAAATACGTGTTGGATGAAGACCCACATGTTCAAAGCGGGTTAATAAATTTTTATGCTGAAATGGGTTTTCTTGGGGACTTAAAGACTTGTTTTTTTTGACATCCACGACCCAGTTTGGTAGCTCAGACAACAATGGAGGTTGCTGGTTTAAGATTAGGAAGTATGGAATTCGCATGCCAGATGTTTGATAAAATTCCCGACCGAGATGTCATTGCCTAGAACGTGATGATAGCAGGGTATGTGATTTACAGAGCCTTAAAAAGGAGTAGAATTGTTCAATATGATGGAAATGAACGATTTGAAAGTTAAGGAAGCCACAATAGTTTCTGTCATTCTGTGTCATCTGTACATGAACAACACGCACACAAATATATTAACCATAAAGGACTACAAATTAACACAACTCTTGGTAGTGCACTGGTATATATGTACACAAAGTGTGGGGATATTAACATGGAAATGGAAGTTTTTTGGGGGATAAAATATAAGAATTTGTACACGTGGAGTGGTGCCATTGGAGGACTATCCATAAATTGTTATGGCAAAGAGTATCTTGACCTTTTTACCCTTGTGCAAAAAAGAAAACGTCACACCAAATGAGTGTCACTTTCACTTCCAATCTTGTATTTGTAAGTTATGCAACAAATAAGTGTGATGAAACTTTGATCTATTGACAGATTATCAATAACATTTAACAATGATCCAAAAGTGTCAACAAAGGGAGATAGTGAACAAGATGAACAAGAAGCATGGTCTTTCCTTCTTATCGAACGTCTTGAATTCACAATATCCAAATGAACTAATTTAAAAGACAATATTTGCATATCAGCAGTTTGCAAAAAAAATGTTCTCCCATTTGCACACCACGGTCATGGGGTGACTTGGGGTTTATGACCCGCATGAGTCCAGAATTACCAACATTGGTACGAAGAGTAAACTTTATTTTGGAGCATATTGAAATAGATATTGTTTTTGTCCAAGATAAACAAAAAAAAAAAAGTTAAACAAGTGAGAATTACCATGGTTAATTTCTCCTTAAAACTTGTATGCTTATTTAGTTGAATGCAAGAAGTTTTGTTCATCAATATTATAATACGATTCATTATTTTATAGAACAAAAGTATTACATTTTAACTAACTATAACAAAAGTCAATACATTTTAAGTATTGTTTCAATTTTGAAACTTTGAATGTAATGTCATCAAATAGTGACGTGTCATCATGTCATATCATAAAAAAGTACCACTTGAACATGTCACGTCAACCGGAAACTGGTGACATGTTAAGTTGTCAACATTGAAATAAATTAAAAAAAAATATTGTCAAAATAAAAAAAAAATATTGTCAACATTGAAATCACTTAGAAAAAATATATTCTCAAAATAAAAAAATAAAAACATGATGTTTTTATGCAAAGTGCATTTTTTTTAATTAATTTATCTATCAAGTTTTTCTCCATAGAAGAAACAAATAAAACTTCAAAAATGTCCATTATTGAAATCAAATAAAATCGAATATATTTGTCCTGTGTTGAAATTCGAGATGAGATGTTACATTTGTAATTAAATTTCGAGTTTTATCCATATATTGTCTACTTGCTCAATATAAATATTTTGGAAATTATATTCACTTGAGGTAATAAATTGACGTGGCATAGTAACTAAGTCGTTATGGATATAATGTGACTGTCTATTCTCCTTAACATGTAAGCTTAGCTAGCTAATTATACAACAAGATCAATTCATCAATAATTAAAGCCAAAGTTAACAAATATAATTTCTTATAAAAACCCAAAGCCATATTTATGCCAACACATCATATTATAATTGTTTGAAAGGGTATTCCAGTTTTTTACAGGCTAGCTCCCACAAAGAAGGTTCACCACTTGGTATAGGGGAGCCATTGCCCTAACCAAGCCACTACGTGATAGTTAAACATTGGTTAGACGATTTAAAGGATTTATTATATTTTACGATTCAATTAAACATAAGAATATGTCAACGAATGAAAATGGAAGAAAGAAAATCAATTCTTTTCGTGTGATATAGAAAGAAATTCCATTTGGAAAAAGAGATGAATGTATAGGATGCATCATGTTAACTTTGAATATGAGAAAAGAATGTTAGGGAAAGCATTTTAAAAAACACTACTTGAAAGCAAAGCAATCTTAAAACAAAAAGTAAGTTGATTTCTTGAGACGTGCACATGTTAATGCCTCTTCGGCCTTCATTTATATTTTCTTTAACGCTAAGGGTTTACATGTCTGCCATTTTCCATTGAATATGGATATCACAAAAAAGAGAGAAGATATGGAAGAGATTAATCATTTTAGTCATAAAAGGCATCCGTTAAAGTTGGTCAACGTGGAGACGATTCTAGGTGCTAATTTCGATAGCCATGGTGGTGGTGGTGGTGGTGAAGAGAAAGAGAAACTAGGTGTAATTGGTTGCTATGCATGTCAAAACCCTATATCAAGTGGCTTTGTATATGGTTGCATCCAATGTCATCATTTTATGCATAAAAAATGCTCACAAGTTGCGCCCACTATCAACCTGCCTTCCTTATATGAACATCCTCTAACAGTATACGATTTTGGAGTTGAACCAGACCTCGCTTGGGGCTGTTATCTTTGTCGTAATAAAAAAAGAAGAAGGGGGTTTTGTTATTTCTATAGCAAACCTGAGTACAACATTTTTTTAATGCTTGCATCGATTGTTGTCTTGTTGAGATTGCTCGCAGGGCAGAAGTTGATGCTATCAAGGAGCAGGGAAGGATCAAGATTAAACATGAAGGCTACCCACAACACACTTTAAGCCTCAAATTAAGACCTAATGCGGTGTTGTGTGATGCATGCAAAGCTAAGGATGAAGGCTTATTCTATGAGTGTGATAGTTGTGATTTCTGGATCCACAAGACTTGTGCTTCCTTATCCACTACCATCCATCTACCCAATCACCATAATCACCCACTTACTCTGGTCTATTCGTTTCCTAAAAAATTCCTTAAATTTGCATATTACTGTGAATTTTGCGGCATATACATCCGATGGAATGACTGGTTGTATCATTGTGCAAACTGTAGATATTTTGCCCATATCAAGTGTGCCTTAACTGCAGAACAACCTTCTATTCAAAGGTAACTCTTGTTTTCTTTTTCTTTGCGTTTGTGAATGCTTAATTGTTCTAAACAAGAATATGTGATTTCAGAGATGGTCCGAGTACTTCTACAGTTGTTGAGGATGAAAATGGTTTGCTACATTTTCCCATGTCAGATGAATTTACAGATCTGTTGAAACTACAACATCATGAAAAAATGACTCAAGATGATGATGATGAAAAAACTGTGATTGAGCATCGGCATTGGAGTCATGAACATCCATTAATCCTTCATGTTCAACCTCAACCTAAACCTAACAGCATGTCTGATTGCAGTGATCCAATTCAGGTATGTCAGGGGTGTGTACGTCCCCTCTCCCTACCATACTATACTTGCAAACATGGATGTTCATTCACTCTCCACAAATATTGCATCGAGATACCACTCAAATTACAACATCCACTTCACCCAGATCATTCGCTTGCCTTGATAAACACAAGGGGACATGATAATTACTATAGATGCAATGGTTGTGAGAGCTTTTGCAACACATTTGTGTACAAATGTGAAACTTGTGAGTTCAACCTCGATGTCAACTGTGCATTTCTACCCAAAACCATCAAACATAAATCCCATAATCATCCTCTTATCCAAGTTATCGATCCTGATCTTATTTGTAAGGCATGCACCAAATGGTTTAAGGGTATAATCTATGCTTGTAAGGCTTGTAGCTTCACATTGGACCTGTATTGTGCAATGAGGTCGCCACATTCCCTTGTTCATAGGTATTGCAAAGGACATGAAATCCCATTGACGTATCCTCCGGTCATGGATCATCCGGAAGATTTCTTTTGTGATATATGTGAGGAAGAAATGCACCCCAAGTTCCCCCTCTATTATTGTCACAAATACAAAAATTCTTTTCATCTTCATTGCATTAATCGATTAAAGCGTTATGCAAACGTTTTCCATGAGGGCACTTTGAATGTTCCCTATCATAGACATCCATTAACTTATGTCCGAAGAAAGAAAACGCCCAAGTATGTGTGTTCTAATTGTAATCAAGATATTAATGGTTGTTTGATCCTAGAATGTCAGAGTAGAGTCTGTACTTTCAATATATGTTTTGAATGTGATTATAATAAGGTAATGGGTCCTTAATCATGTCATATGATTAGGAACTAATCAACTAAGAAAGGGCCATATATGTCATTGTTTCCATAAATCTACCTCCTCTAATAAACAAAACCTTTAATGTGCCACATGTCCTCTTTCTACCATGCTAACCTGCCACGTGTCATTTTATGAATAATTCTTTATAAACATTAAATTAAATTAAAATTAAATTGTAATCCCAGTTTTTTTTCAACTTACTGCATTTTTCGGTTTCATATAACATTTAAATTTAAATTTAAATTCCATGTTTTTTGGAAACAATAGCAATTCACGTTTGAATTGTTTGGTAACAAATCCTATCTTATTTTTGACTCTTTTTCAAGATTTCAATGAATCCCAAAAAATCAGCAACTTGAAATTAATATTTTGACTCCATTTATATTTCAATATCAGTAACACGTCCTCAACATTCATTCCCATTGTCGAATTTTATTGTGTTTTCTCATCTTCAACAATACTATTTCTGTAGAAGAGACAACATAACAAATCTGGTTAGTTCATCTTCATAAACCAATATTTATAACATTTTTCTGAAATACTTAACACAAATGTACTTTCTTTTTTCTAAAAACCTTCCTTCGAAAGTATGTGTATCTGTTGCGGTTCCTGCTTTAAAATCAGTAAAAAAAAACATATATTCTTATCTGCAACTCTTTTTGAGTATTTTTTATTTTTGGTCATTAGAAGTTATGTAAGCCCCATTTCAGTTGATCTGCAATTTGATTGCTTCAAGGTAGGATGTTTAATGTTACAATAAACCAACTATAATCGTTTTTATTTGGCCAATATGACAGTTTAAACCAAATTTTTATTTTTATTTTCATTAAAAAGCTGCAACTCTTTTTGAAAAGTAAATGACTGTTTTATCAAAAATCGAAAGTTTTTTTTGGAAGTAAATGACTCCTTTACCCCTCAACTTACAACACTAATAAAAATAAAGCGAAAACTATGCAGGTGTAAATGTTGTTATATTGTTGTCCATTTTTAAATTTTTTTAAAATCATAGGAATATACTTTGAAACTATATTGTTGTGATTAAATGCAGAAAGGGTATTTTGGTCCATTTATTATACTTATATGTTTTAAAAACATTATAACCCATATGCCATTTTAATAGAAATATTGTCATTTATCATTTTCTATCGGTTATATATTTTTTTATTATGCTTTTTACTGTCAAATATAAATTTAACTTAACATTTAGGTAGAAAATGACAACTCTACCATTTTATATTAGAAATGACAACTCTGCCCTTTTATATTAGAAAATGACAACTATGCCTTTTTATATTATAAAAATGACAAATATGACCTTTTATATTGTACTTCTAATAAGAAAACTATAAGTTTGATAGTTTTTGATGTCGTGAATGTAACAAAATCATCCTGGATTTCAGCAGGAAATGAAGAGAAGATGAAGGTTTTGACACCAAAAGTTAAAAAATAATGGTTTTATACGATGAATTGGTAATTTTGCATATGGTTTTCTTTTGTTTTTCCATTAAGTTATTAATAATTCATGCAATTACTTTAAATTAAAAGTTTAACATTGTACTTTTAATAGTATAATTGTTTACAATGCTCGATTGATGGATTTTAATATATTTGTGAATTGACATACCTTTCATAACATGTGAAAAGAATCATGGCAGATTCTCTAAGCTGTTGTTAAATGCAACATACTCTTCAACACCCGACTCAATAACCACCTTCATGCTTTATGGTTATGGAGATTTGTGCTACAATAACAAAACATACATTATTGTAAATGTGTTTTTTTTATATAAAAAGTATGAATATACAATGCTATCAAAATATTGAAAAATATATTACAATGTAATTTAACTATTTCTTTTACTTTTTTGTTCATATACTTTATAATTGCAATATGAAAAAAAACCCACTATATTGAGTGCATTTTACTTTTACTATTTTAATTCATATTCCTTAAAATATTAGTGTTCTTTCAACTGTATGTCTCCTATAGCATTCCACTTTCATATAAATATAATATTTTTTTTTCAATTCTCTATCTCCTACACAACATACCACTTTCCTCAATATGTTTACACACATATAATCAAATAACCAACTATTTCATTTCATACATATAACGTCTCAACCAAAATACAACTAAAATTTTGCCTAATAAACTAATTTGTTACTTATCTTAGCAATGTTACTTATCTTAGCAAGCTTACACCAAAACATAACAATTTTCATGCACATAATTTAAGAATAGCAAACCTAATTTTACACCCCCATCATATTTTCACTGTTGTAAGCAGCAATAAACATTAAAATCTCATTATTTGAAAATAATACATAGATTTAAGAGAACAAGCGAGAATGTATGAACGAAAATGAAAATTCAGAAGCATAACTTTCAAAATTTCGCACTTAAACAATAACAATTCAAGATTCAGTTTTGAAATATAATCAAAATTCAAATAATAAATACAGGGAGTACATTAAATCTCATCTTCTACAAAAACGAAATTAGTAATTTTACCTCTTCTTCATCGTCGCTCTATCATCATCGTTGAAATCCAACAGCCAACATATTCCAAAATCAGACCACAAGGACGTCATTTTTCCTTCATAACTTTATCAACGGACTGAAATCCCTTTTCAGGTATCTTTCTTGTAACAATAGATAAAATCAACCTTGCTTTGTATTGATATTAACATAACAATATATAGAGAGGATTACAACAATTACTCCTATGATAAAGGAGATAAACTAGCATACAAATAAATACAATAAATACTAGAAATTATCCTCTAATACCCCCTTCAACCGAAAAGGTGGCAGTCCAAGACGAAGCGTTGCACGAAATTTGTCAAAGAGTGCACGCGGAAGACTTTTTGTGAAGATATCGGCCACTTGAAGATTGGTTGGAACAAACTTTTTGTATAATTTACCCGAGCTAACAAGCTCCCGAATAAAGTGATAATCCAAGTCAATATGTTTTGCACGCTTGTGTGAGATTGGGTTATGAGTCATAAATAGGGCGCTTTTGTTATCACAGAGAAGCGTAGGACGGTCCGGTGGTAAAGCATGCAATTCTTGAAGTAAATGGGTGATCCAAACAATTTCTGCAGCCGTGTTTGCCATTGCTCTATACTCAGATTCACAACTGGATCTGGAGACCGTTGGCTGTTTCTTGGCAGGAAACAAGATTTCCACCAAGAAACACTAAATAACCATAAGTAGAGCGACATGTTTCAAGACATCGAGCCCAATCATCATCAGAGTAACAGACGACAGAAGCTTTTTGAGGATGACTGTAAGTGAGACCAAAGGAAATGGTGCCTTTAACAAACCGAAGTATTCTCTTAATAGCTTGGAAATGATCGATGGTTGGAGCATGAAGGAACTAAGAGACTTGATTAACGGCATAAGATAAGTCCGGTCTAGTTATGGTTAAGTATTGAAGGGCTCCGACTAACGACCTATAGAAAGTAGGATCAGAATAAGGCAGGCTATCCATTGTGAAGGATTTTTGTGGAGCCAAAGGTGTACTGACAGGTTTGGAGTCCAAAAGCTCAACCCGGATGAGAATGTCTTGAGCATATTTTGTCTGTGAAAGGAAGAGACCGTTGTCCGTGTAGGCAACTTCAAGGCCAAGGAAGTAATTTAGTTCCCCAAGGTCTTTTATGGAAAATTCATGATTGAGACGAGAGATAAAGGTGGCAATGGCAGATTCATTGTTTCCCGTAAGCATGAGATCATCGACATAAACAAGTAAGTACATAATGCATGAGTCTTTGAGAAAAATAAAGAGAGAAATGTCTCCACGGTTGCATATAAAACCATAAGAAATAAGAAATGTGCTTAAGCGTTGAAACCATGCACGTGGTGCTTGCTTTAATCCATATAATGCCTTGGATAGTTTGCACACATGATTTGGGAACTGAGGGTTGATGAAGCTTGGAGGTTGTTCCATGAAGACCGTCTCTGTTAAGTTACCATTTAAGAACGCTTTTTTGACATCTAGTTGATGCAACTTCCAATTATTCAAGAGGAAAAGTGTAATGACAATTCGCATTATGGATGCTTTGACAACCGGACTAAATGTGAGAGAGTAGTCGGGACCCGGGATTTGAGTATATCCTTGGGCAACTAATCTTGCTTTGTAGCGTTCGATGGTTCCGTCTGAGTGGTATTTGATGTGATAGACCCATTTGGACCCTAAAATGTTGATAAGACCAGGACGTGGTACTAAGGTCCACGTGTTATTTTGTTGCAAAGACTCAAATTCTTCGTTCATGGCAGCTATCCATTTTGGATATTTGGTTGCCGTTTCAAAACTTTTGGGTTCAGTTGTCGATATTAATACAACATGAAGACGGTTAGTAGCGAGGGAAGCTAGATCAACCTGATGTTTTGGTCGAAAAATACCAGCCTTGGACCTGGTAATCATCGGATGACTCGATACAGAAGATTCAGGTGATGGCATAGGCGACGATGACACAGGAGCCTGGTCAGCAGGGGCTGTAGTAGACGAAACAAATGGAGAAGGATAAGTTGCATCCGCATGGACTTGTTCAGGTAAAAGAGTGGCAGGTGGGTCTCGATGTTCGTCTGGTGGCTTGCAAAGAGCACAAGGTGATGATTTTGTAGTATGCTCATTAGCTTTGGCAGGTGGAGTAAGACTAGTTGGCACATCAAGAGATGATGAAGACTTTGGAAGTTCTTCAAGAAAAGTAGTAAGAGTTAATTAAGATATATTTGGGTCAAGAGATGTACCATGAAACGGGAACACTTGCTCATTAAATCGTGCATGTCGAGTGATGTAGATACGAGAAGATGCTGGATCGAGACACATGTACCCTTTATGTTGCTGACTATAACCAATAAACACACATGGGATGCTTCGAGGTTCAAATTTTTGTTTGGAATAGTCACGCAAATAAGGGAATACTTGACATCCATATGTATGAAAGTTGGCATATTGTGGGTCTTGATTGAAGATCAAACG